GTGTGTGTGTGCCCTGGTGTGTGTGTTACATGTGCCCAGCACCATTGTGACATTTAAGGCAGATATCTCTCTATCTCTCTCTCTCTCCCCCTCTCCCTCTCTTTCTCACCAACCTCACTTTTTTCTCATCTGTTTCTTCCTCAATTCTTTTTCCTTTCTCTTCTTTTTTGACCTCTTTCCCTGCTTTTCTCTCTCTTTCTTTCCCCTGCCTCACCGCACCCTCTCTTTCTCTCTCTCCAGGTTGGGTGCTGACTATAGCAGACTTTAGGACGGAGGTGTTTTTTCCTCTGCTCCTCCCCCCCTCTTCTCTCCAACTGTGCCAGCCCTAAACCCAGTAAGTTACAATATGACCATACCATCCCAACCATATGTAACTCCTAGAATGATTATAAATGTCTTTTTTATTATCTTTTTATTATTAGGATGTTTTTGTAGTTTAATATCCTAAAGGGTTCATAGAATCTGATCAAACTTATTTTATAACTGTCTGACAAAACTGTTTAGTTAGTGCCAATTATATTCCTTAAGTTAAAAAAACCTGAATTATCCCCTTAACTGTGCAGCTTTGATTGGTTGAGAAAGGGGAAAAAAAGCAACCGTAATATGGGTTTAAATTCCCCTGCTCTGCATAATCAGGAAACACAATACACGCATATGTACGAACACTTACACAGGTCGTTTCAACATTAGAGACGCCCAAATCAAAAGCAATGCCAAATGTTCCTGACTGGTGCTGCTGATAAAAAAAGTTTCCTGACACATGCACACACACACACAGCCCCCTGAGGGCCCCTGGGACTTCAAAGAGCCGTCTACTGTACCTCAGCGACACCTCAACACCAGGTGCCGCGGAAAGGAGGAAGGAGGGGTGGTGGAGAGTAGAAATGGAAATTGGGAGAAAAGGAGCAAGAGGGAGACATGGGCATACAAGGGAGAAAGAAATAAAGCGGGAGGTGGAAAGAAGGGGTGAAGAAGACTGATTTGAGTACTGAATCAGTGAAAAAAAGGGACGGTGAGAGTGGGAATTAGGCAGGTGGAGATCAAGGGACAGAAAGAAAAAGAGATTTTTTTTTAAAAAAGCTTTGAAATTAGGAAGGAATAAGTTGAGAAGAAAAAAAGACGGGGGTGAAAGCCGACCAACAAGACAGGGAGAGACCTAAAACAGGCCAGAAAGACAGACAGCAGGCAGGGAGCTGCAGTCAAAGACGGAGAGTTGTGGGGGAGGGCAGTAACACTCTGCTGCTAATACCCCTGCTGCTTTGTTGTGAAGAACCCCAGTTCCCCGTTTAATGGTGAACTATTCCTTTAATGATAGCAGTAAAACACACTCACTCACTCATACACACAC